ATATATAAAATGATACCTTAATTGCAAAATATCAATCAAATTCTCTAATGATCAAGCTGATCAAAAACATTTTTATTTAAAAATTTTATAATACAAAATTTGCAGTAATAACATTTCTTCATACTCTCTAAGGGGTTTCAAAACTTTTAGGCCAGGTTATAATATATTTTTATTTTATTGTGTCATATTTGTAGTTAATTGTAACATACATGATGTGTTTGTATTTAACAATATATAAACATTTTTATTTTAAAATGTTATGTTTAAAATAAAAAACACAGTTCGCAACAATATGATATCTTCATATTCTCTATATGGATTTTAAATACTTCCTTTTTTCCCCCCATAATCTATGCTGCTGTTGTAATAATCATTACATCATGTTTTTTGATTATTTATGTTTAAAAGAGTAAGTAGTTTTCAAGTTATGTATTTGTGTTAGAGGATATGTTTAAAATACATAATCTTATTTTATTGCTATATTCCATTTTCCACTAGTCATAACTAGTCACTAATAAAGTTATACATTTAGTAAATTCCATTTCAAATGATTTTTGATGTTTGAGTTCATAAAAAATCATAATTATAATTTTTATTATACTAAAACAATTTTCCTTGGTAAATTTTCAGATCTCTAGCTTGTTAATAAAATGATTGGATACAAAAGACAATACCATTGAAAAAAATATTTATTTAGACTACTGTAACAATAAATCAATTTAATACATTGTCAAAGTTGCCTCCTTTCATTTCAAAACATTTTTGAATTATATCAGAAAAATTTTCTCCTAACCTTCAGAAATATGTTTGGTTGATAGGGTCTTCATATGTCCCCAAAAATAAAAATCTAGGGGATTAAAGACATTCATGTGAAATGAGCCAAACAATAAGATTATGTATTTGTGTATATGTGTAACACTCTATCTCAGTAATGTAGAATATTTTATTTAAGTGTTTTAGGTTAAACCTTATATATTAAAAAATGATGAAATAAATAAATTATGTTTATATTATATATATTTTTATTTATTACGTTATCATTATAGGAATATATTGATTGTAAAATTATATCACTAAATTACATTATATTAAAAATCTATATATCACTATATAGGTATTATAAAATTCAGGTTAACAACATGGCTTTGCCGAAGGAAAGTCTACATGCACAAACTTAATACTGTATACTAATTTTATTGCTAATTCAATCGAACATAAGGGTCTCCAGTTGATGCTATCGACACAGACCTCTCTAAAGTCTTCCACAGAGTTAACCATGATCTGCTTATTGCTAAATTACAAGGATATGGATATGAAGGTAAAAAAATGAGTGGATAAAAGTAGTTATGTGTCTGGTAGGTGTCAGTATGTAAAATATGGAAATTGTTTATCTCACATATTGTTGAATAAGGTTTCTTACAAATGAAACACATTAGACATTTTTAATATAATTTAAAAAAACACAAAATAAACCAAAATGAAGTATTGAGTAAATATTTTTAACAGGAGGTTCACATTCACAACAACAACAACAATAAACAAAACACCCAAAAATACTGAATTCCTAACCTCAATAACTGGTGTCAAAAATGTCATCCAGTCGTCCAATCAGAAGATGGAATCCAAGGTGGTAATTAGCCTCTCGTTTCTCAAGCACGAAGTCGAGCTTGAGATCGCAAAAATGACAGCTCGTACTCAAGCATCCGATGGACCTGCCTTGAGCACGGGATCCTAACCTAACTTGTTTGTTTATATTTATGAATATTTCCAATACAATATTTTCTTTGTTTTTTGAGATTAATATTGTCGTTCAACATCCAGGATAAAGTATTGGTAGCTTATTATTTGATCAAAGTTGATTAAAAGTTAGAATGGAAAGAGGGCAAATTCCAGAATTATTATGAATAGTGAATATGTATGCAGTGCAGACACAATCTACTGTATTATAGCCAGGTATTTATTGATAATTGGCCAAATAAAAAATAGATTATTTGATAAATACATCTTTTTAGGCAATGATCAACAAAATAGATATAATAATAGTACACATGTAATGTGTAAATGGATATTTGGAACCTGGAAAATATGGTTTTCCTGTCTGCAATGAGGCCTACAAACCAAATTAAATACATATCTTGCATAATAAGTGCTACAGCAGTACTTTGCAATATATGTTTACAGGAAAATAATGATAGTGATGATGATTTTCTAGAAAGTAGTAAATAGAAACTTTAATGATGTGGAATGAGGTTTAAATTTTAGGAGACATTTTATTCACCAATGTTATGCATGGGAATGTAAATACAATATTGAATACTTATATTATGTATGTTCTACCTTATTTCTCAAAATGTCAGAATGATTATCATTACTTGATTACACTTTTTGTTGGTTTTTTTTATTTTATATCTTATCTTTGTTTAATTCAAAGTTGTTTATTTTGAGAATTAAATACCTATATTATATTAGATATAGTATGTTTTTGTCTTATTTATAAAAATGTGTTTGTTTTAATTTTAAAATAAATGAGGGTTTTCCCTCACTATGCTCAGACAACTCAAGTAAGTATGTCTTCTCTGAGTACAAGGAGTTTCCCTCATTTTAATTAAGTGTTTATTCCTTTCATAAAACCTTTCCTTACCAAATAAAAATTAATACAAATTTAGAATATTAATATTCTTTATTTAAAAAATTATAGTTATAATTAAATACAATGTAAAATAGATTATTTTATTTTATAGCTTCAGCTATCAGGAGTAAACTGTACAACAATTAGAACATTACAAAAATATAAAGTAATTATATATATATATATATATATATATATATATATATATATATATATATATTTAAAATATATTCAATGGTTGAATATCAGAGGTTTTATCAGTCAATAATTGGCAAATAAGTCGTCAACTACTTTATTGATTTATTTGAATACGTTTCGCTTTTATTTTTAAAAGCATCATCAGTTCACTACAAATAAAAAAGATTTTAGCATATAAGTATACAACCACCAGGGTTCATACTTACAAAAACAATTTGTAGATTTTTTAAAGGATGTTATAAAAACTCTATAATAACTTAACATTAAAGATTACAAACTAAACAAGAGAAACAAGACAAAAAAATACAAGAAAAACAGTAAGAATACTATTGTTCATTTAATTTTAACCGATGGCTTCATTATATATATATATATATATATATATATATAAATATATATATATATATATATATATATATATATATCGAAGTAGCAGCAATTTATTAAAAATTTTTAATAATTTTCTGTAAACAACATAAAAATATTATGAACTATGTATTGCAATCAATACTTAAAAAAAATGAAAAAGAAACATACATAATCAAAAAACAAAAGACTCTACAACAAATAAAAAGGTAAAAAAACCATATCTTACCAGCAGAAATTAAAATATTAACAATCTTAAATCTACATTAAATACTATCTAGAAATAAAATAAACAGGAACGAGAATAGAAAGAAAATAAACATGATTTTACAACACAAAGTATATTTTTTTCGTCTTTATAGAGGGGGGAGGGTCTGAAATCTTAAGACATCTCAGTCCAGGATGCCGCCTGACTGACCTTAGTGCAGGATTCATTCTTCGTAGTTCCGGCGATAGTTCCCGAGGTACTTTAAAACATCCTCTCTTCGCTGATTCTACGTCAAATGCCTACCTGCTAAAACAGACCCTACTCTGACATTCAGTGCTCCTAAAGTGAAAAGGCCACTGAAAGACCGAGTTAACACTTCCCAAACACTATCTTCAGTTGGGAATAAGCCACAATGTTTTGTATGTTATGGTTACTGATGTTTTAATCTCTATGACCAGATATTGTTACCAAAAATACAAAATTGTGATTTATTTTCAGAAAATAAATCACAATTTTGTATCTATGATAACAGCCTCTGGTCATATAGATTGAAAAATATCAATAAATAAACATATTATGGCTTATTTCTACATTTTCCCTAAAACTGCAGAGTATCCAACAAAGGAAAAAGATCTTCTAGCGCCTGAAAATAAACAATTAATTATAGACAAATTCCAGTGACAAGTCAAACATGATAAAATCTATAATTACCCTTTTTATAGTCTATTAACTTCAATGAAGCTAATTCAGCTTCATCAATAGCTCTCTGCCTCTCCTTCTCAGCTGCTTCTCTTAAGGCTTTTGCTTTCAGCATATCTTCTTCTAAAATCTTCATTTTCATCCTATGAATCTCGTCTTGCTGCCTGATGGTATAAACAGGCAGCAAGATGTTGACCTCAGGTTGGCAGTTATAATTTGTTGCTATGAACTCCCAAGCCATATTTTTCTCCATTACTGAAGTGGAAAACAGTTTGTCCTTTTGTTCTCTACCACAGCGTTTTCTGTTACCAGCTGAATTAGGAGAACTTTTTCCTTTGTTGAGTAAGGTGCATATTTACTGATATTTCCACTCATCTAAAATTTACATAACCAATTTATTTAGCGTACGGCTTACACATGCAATATAATTATAATGATTGTAACGCATTACATACATATAAATATATCCAAAAACAAATATACATATATAAGCATATATTTTGAACATCAAAAATTATGCCTCAGACACAGTAACAAAATAGAAATTAATTCTGTAGAATAAATATTTTTTATAACATATTACATACCTTAAAATACTTAATATCCAGTATTAATTTCAAACACAAAATATTAATATCAAACACAAAATTTCAGTAAGTAGCATAAACTAAATTTGGCGCTAAAAGTTTAGTCACAATTATGAGAAAATTGACAGAATCTTCTTTTTTTCGATGTTTATTCCTAATTTACTTTTACCGTACTAATTTTTTCTTGCTTGAGATCAAACTTGTACGAGAATACCCGAAGTATCGTTTATAGAACACAACAAATACTTGAGCATGACTTTGACGTAAGTTCGACTTGGCCAAGCACGTTCTCGAGCACGATCTTGAGTACCGACTATAAATACGGGGCTAGGTCTAAATAATATTTGTCCTGTGTACTTTGCCTATTGGATGCCTCCTGAATTTCACATTTAAAGCCATTAAAAAGATCACCATCCAACTCATTATACTCTGTTTCTATTTTAAACGTCTCTTCGCTAATTTCTTGTTTTACTTCCATTTGATTACACTTGGTTTTTGATTTTGGGTTTGGTTGGGGCAATGAACATGAACATAACCTCATATATTTGTACGTGTTTGTACTATTTGACATTAAATGTAAAATCAGTGTTGCCATATACTCAATCATTTCATACCATCGAGCAATAAGACAATCGAGCTCGATGTTTCAACGAGAGCTTAATTTCCCGACTAGGCACCCCCCACCACCTAAACTTTTGGGAATGGAACAGTTTGAATTTGACAGTTTGACATTTATGAATTTGTTTGGACTTAATCTAACTTTATTTGATTTCTTATGTTTATATTTGGTGTCTTATTATTATTTTTTATATAAATGCCTGTAACGTGTAAATATTGTGATAAAATGTTTTCAAGACAATTTACTTTAAATAGACACGTCACACAAATTCATTTTAAACAGATTGAACGCATATTTTATGCTAAAAATGTATGGGGTTTTAAATGTTTGGAACTTGATTGTGATAATTCCTTTCAGCAAGGAAAATTTTTAATTAATCATTTGGAAAATGTTCATAATTTAAAGTTTGAAAGTCAAACAATTAATTTTACAAATATGGATGGTAAGTTTTATTTTAATATTTAATTTAGTAGGATATATTTTGTTAAAATATTGTAGAATATTTCTATGTACTTAATAAAATATAATTAAAAATATATATTAATGGACATTTCCTAATTTAATTTTTTTTTGTTTAAGAATTTATTATTTTGAAACAATCAATGGAAGAAACATCCTGCAGCTTCTATGTTGTGTCTAAATACAGGCTAGATAAAAATATTACATACTTAAATTGCAATCGGAGCAAAACATGTAAGTAAGACACTTAACCTATGATAACTTCATATTAGATGGATACTATATAATTATTTATAATTTAATTTTTTTTCTTTGTAGCTCGTGATGGAAAGCAAGTATTAAATAAGCAATACAAGCATAAAAATCATGATTATTTCTGTACCGAACAACAATTATCTTTACCCTCACTTAAGAACCGTTGTGACATGTCAGGAGCTATATTTCTATATAAGATTATACATGGATTTATTGATTGTCCAAACCTATTAAGCCAGATTAACTTTAATGTTCCCCATCAAGCTCTAAGGTACCACAATGTTTTCAATATTCCTTTCCACAGAACAACCTATGGTATTCACAACCCATGGAATAGATACAAGGGGCTATTAAATGATCGTGATTTTAATATTTTCAATATAACTTTAACTCAGTTAAATTTTGTTCTTGTTATACTTTGTTTTTTAGTATGTAAGATTTTTAGTCTCATTTTTTTAAACTTTTTAATATTGATTTTATATAGCAATTTCAAGTTTTGAATCCTAACTGTGATATTGTATATTGTAATTTAAACTGTTAATGGGGTTATCCCGTGTATTAAATAAATAAATAGTACACTGACTGTACTATTTAAATAAAAATTAAAATACTTAATTGTTATATACTACATGCATATTGTATTTATTTCACCTTTCCCTAAATTGGAAATAACTGTAAAATGTTGTGATACATATATTGTGTAAAATAATGGTATGTCATCTAATAACACAAGAATATTCTTATGAAATTTGGTAAGCATTATTTATGGATTGATTGTACAGCTACTACAAGTTTTGTTATAAGAGATATAAAGAAAATTCGAAAGGTTGTTTTAAATAGAATTTACTTACAAAAAATGGTTTTGGAAATTGCATATTATAGAGGCGTACTGAAATTTTTCGTTAAATTATAAACGACATATCCCGAATCTATGTAACTTATTTAGATTATTACACAGTTCTTATACATGTAGTGGCCATTCAATCTATACGTCATGTACAGCAAATTTCATTTGAATATTCTAATGTGCTAAAGAGATATTACAAAAAAAATCTAAATTTTTAAAACTTCAATGGCCTGTATTTGAGAAAGGAACCAAATTTGATCATCCACTATTCTACAAACACCGTTATTGCTGACAACACCACTTAAAAATAAAATCGCAAGACTGTAAACACAGTCTATACATTGTAATATTTTCTTCTAAAAAATATGACTATTTACCTCATATCTGTTCTGTACAAGCGTAAACGAAGTATATTATACCAATCATTATTATATTGGAAATTTTTTTAAGTTTTTTTACAAACTAAAATAATAATGAAATGATTAAATGTAACAGGTGTTATTATTTAGAGTTTTCTAAATAAAAATTATTATTAAAAAATTAAATTAGTATTTATAATTAATTCTGTAAAAAATATAGATATAGATTGTGTTACCAAAGTATGTATAGGAATAAAAAAAAAACAAAAGTTTAATACAATAAGGACCGATTGTTCGAACGCTAATTAAAACTCAAATATTTAATTAAAATCAAATAGGAAACATTTTGAGGTTATGTTGACTGATTTATTCAGTGATATTATTCAATTGTATGATTTTGCTTTTTAATTTAAAATAAACCATAATTAAACTCTTTCTGATGTTAATTTCATGTTTTTATTTACAAATCAATAATAATAATAAGCAATTTTGACAACAGCTTTGATGTATTTGCAAATTCAAGTTTTGATTAGCGTTCGAACTACCGGTCCTAATTGATACCATATATTTCAAACTTCCCGCCATTCGTTAAATCCCTGCACATATAAACAGTAGTGGGGGGTGCTGAGTCGGGAAATTAAGCTCTCGTGATGTTTCATACTCTCACATATAAAATTATGGGCAAGGGCCATCGAGCAATAAGACAAAAGAGGGAATCTAATCGTTATAAAAAGGAGACCAAAAAAGTGGCCTCTGATGGCGGACACATCCGGAAATGCAAAGGCGCCAAATTTAAATTTTTCGACACTTATCAACAGTAGCTATATAATATTTTTCAAAATGTGTCTTAGACGAGAAAGTTTTAATTAATTATTAATGATAAGAGTCTAAAATGCGACACAATTGTTAAAAAACTTCAATATAAATAAGATTTCATGTGACATTTGGGACAAACAATAACATAACCCAACTAAATTTGATGTCAAACAAGGAGAGAGACTCTCTATCCTTGTCTAAAGTGGCCTCTCAAGATGGCACTTCCTGTCTATCAATATGTTTACCCCTTCTACCTTTACATTCCCTCTTTTGTCTTATTGCTCGATGGCAAGGGCGCAAGGGCACTAAAGGTCGATTCAGACACATCAGTCACGTCTCGTCACAGTGATGGCACCGAACCGAACAATCCGTCATACAAAATATTCTTTAATACAAATATGGCGCCGGCATTCACACTCATCAGTTGACAAACAGTTTGCCAGCTGTCAGATAGTTGATAGTTCTGTGACCAAACAGGACCGGTTCGGTGCCGTGACTGATGTGTCTGAATCGACCTTTAAGGTCGATTCAGACACATCAGTCACGTCTCGTCACAGTCCTGGCGCCGAACCGAACAATCCGTCATACAAAATATTCTTTAATAGAAATATGACGCCGGCATTCACATTCATCAGGCGACGAACAGTTTCCCAGCGGTCAGATAGTTGATAGTTCTGTCACAGAATAATAAACTATTCTGTGGTTCTGTGACCAAACAGGACCGGTTCGGCGCCGAGACTATGACGGGACTGATGTGTCTGAATCGACCTTTAATATAATTATATGAAATGAAAATTTAAAACAAACAAAAACGAGAAAAATACATATACAATTAAAATCATAAAATGATACCTATAAATATTATAAAATAAAATTATCTATATCTTGCATTTAAAAAATACTTATACAATAAAAACCATTAAAATTATGCCTAAGGTAAAAATTAATAGTTTAGAAACTACAGAATAAAGTGAAGTTTAATCATCTGTAGCAATCTAGCAATTTCTGTTTTGAGATTTCTGACTTCCTTGCCTAATATATTAGTTTACAAAATAATTGACAAATATATCAATTTACAAAATAATTACAGTATTTATAATTTATATTTTATATAATTTATATTTATAGCTACATTTAAAGTAAAAAAATACTATTTTATGAATGCTTTTTAATATGAATTCAAAAATTGTGGCTTCTCATAACAAAACTTTATAATTTCTTATATTTAATATAAGTATCTTTATATTTTATTTTAAAAATAAAGATGGCCACATCCTCTGCGAGAACGAAAGTATTATGAACAGGTGGAGAGAATATTTCGAAGACCTCCTGACTCATGAAGACTCTAATAATGAAATAGACCACACTGAAGAAAAGCCACATAAGAACCCAAATAAAAACGAGATAACAATAGAGGAAATAAGAGAAATAATACTCAGGCTCAAAAGAAGAAAGGCAGCTGACTATGATAAAATAACTGCGAAAATGCTAAAAAATATGGAAGAAAATGGAAATGAAATACTTAGAAAAGTTTGCAATAAAGCATGGAATGAGAGCAAGATCTCAAAAGACTGGGAAGTGGGAGTAAAGGTCGATTCAGACACATCAGTCACGTCTCGTCACAGTCCTGGCGCCGAACCGAACAATCCGTCATACAAAATATTCTTTAATAGAAATATGGCGCCGGCATTCACATTCATCAGGCGACGAACAGTTTGCCAGCTGTCAGATAGTTGATAGTTCTGTGACCAAACAGGACCGGTTCGGCGTCGGGACTGATGTGTCTGAATCGACCTTTATTCTACCCATTTTCAAAAAAGGTGATAGACGAGACTGCAGCAACTATAGAGCTATATCCCTCCTGAGTATCCCTTCCAAAGTTTACGACAGAGTACTGGAGAAACGACTACTACAAGAAGTAGACCATAAGCTGGAGCACTCACAGAGAGGTTTCAGGAAGGAAAGAAGCATCCATGACCATATTTTTACACTCAAGCAGCTAATAAAAAATGCACAAAATACAAGCACGGAACTATACCAAGCCTTCATAGACCTCGAAAAAGCATTTGATAGAACCCCGCGAACCGAAATAGACAAAAGCCTAAGGAACAGAAAAGTAGACAGTAAACTTAGAAAAGCTATTATGAGCCTATACAAGAACACAGAGTAAGTATATGGAATATATA